GACTAACAGATGAGGTCAGTCAGGAATCCTCGTGGACTATGATGTTTGCAGATGACATCGTGATCTGTGGTGAGAACAGGGAACAGGTGGAAGAGAAACTGGAGAGGTGGACGTATGCACTTGAAAGAAGAGGAATGAAAGCCAGCCGTAGTAAAACAGAGTACATGTGTGTGAATGAGAGGGAGGAGGTGGAAAAGTGAGGCTACAAGGAGCAGAGGTCACAAAGGTGCAGGACTTCAAGGACTTGGGGTCCACTGTCCAGGAAAATGGAGAGTGTGGTAAAGAGGTGAAGAAGAGAGTCCAGGCAGGATGGAGTGGATGGAGAAAAGTTTCAGGAGTGATTTGTGACAAAAGGGTTTCAGCAAATGTCAAAGGAAAAGTTTACAAGACAGTGGTGAAACCAGCTATATTGTCTGGTCTGGAGACAGAGACATGGACAAAAAGACAGGAGACAGAACTGGAAGTGGCAGAAATGAAGATGTTGAGGTTCTTCTTAGGAGTGACAAGGATGGATACGATTAGGAATGAGATTATCAGAGGTACAACACATGTTGAACAACTGGGAGATAAAGTAATAGAGGCCAGACTGAGATGGTATGGACATGTCTAGAGGAGGGACAGTGGTTTGGACATGTCCAGAGGAGGGACAGTGGTTTGGACATGTCCAGAGGAGGGACAGTGGGTATATTGGTAGAAGGATGTTAGAAATTCAGCTGCATGGAAAAAGACAAAGAGGAGATCTATGGATGCAGTTAGAGAGGACATGGAGATAGATGAGGACAGAGGACGCACAGGACAGAGATAGAGGATGATGGAGACACCTGAAGAGGGAAATATCTATGTATGTGCATGTATATTGTATATAGAGTACATCTGGAAAGTATTCACTGCGCTTCACCTTTTCCACATTGTATTACATAATCTCCATCCATTATCTTTTACTATTACATAATCTCTTTCCTCAAAATTCTACACACAATAGTCCATTATGACAATGTGAAAAAATATATATTTTTTAGATTTTTGCACATTTATAAAAATAGAAAACTAATTTATTCACAGTCTTTGCTTAACACTTCGTTGATCCACCTTTGGCAGCAAGTACAGTTTGCAATTTGCAAATTGCAACTTAAACCTGGGATATGCAAAAAGTGACATTTGAATAACACATAACTGAACAGATCCTGAGTTAGACTATATTAAGGTCACCAGGGCCGGATTTAGGAGGATGGGGGCCCCTGGGCTGGAGTCAGGATGGGGGCCCATGGGCTGGAGTCAATACTGTATATGGGGGCCCTATATATATATATAT